TAGAGAATGCTATAAACCAGATGTCATACAGCTTAGTCCTCACTTGATAGCAACCTGCCCTCATCCTGCTGCTATGTATGGAGAGGAAAAGTACCCCCATTCCTTACACACAGTTTCCTACAGTGTCTCCTGGGAGAGCCTTGGTAGTGAAGATAGAAAAATATTTTTACCAGGGATGTTTCTTCCATTCTGGCTTTCTTCATAGACAGCAAAGAATTCCATTTTGCAGTTCTCAGATTTTACTACTGACAGATGACTTAGGACATGTTTTGCCATCCAAAACATCCACCCGCACTGTGTATCTCCAGTGTAGTCTGCAGAGCAACAAGGGGAGGAGATAAATCCCCTGGGCTTGTTCAAAACCAGTTCTGATGGGCATCCTGCAAAGGATAAGGCCACGCCAATGGACATAAAATACTTCACAGGCAATGGAGATACAGGAAGACTTCTGATTTCAAAAATAGCAGCAGGAGTGACTTTGATCCAGCTCAATTGTATTTCATTTCTGTCATGTCCTTTTAAAACTATGGCAGAAAAATAATACATCTACCTCCAAATTTAGGCTGGTTTTATATCAGTATGACCCCCAAGAACCCGCCCTCACTGTAGTTCAGTATTAAAAATTCCCAATGAGAAATTTCTAGGACAGCCATGCCTCCTGCACTGAGTAGAATCACATTTTCTTGGATTCTATTCCACAACTGATTTAGGTGTCACAAACACCTCTGAGTGGCATAAATCCCAATGTTCACCAGTTGGCTTTAAAACATACAAATACAATGAAATGAAAATAAAATAAAATAATGATCAACAATAACATCATGTCTGCCCCACATAGAGCACCAGAACATTAATCAATTAAACCAAGAAATTCCAGTCAGAGGAAGCAACATCACATCCTTCTGGTCACAAGTCCCTCCCCACATTTTAATGGACTTCCTAAGCCCCAATGGAGTAGGAGCCATCTGGATATAGAAAGACCACCTTCCATGGTTCCTGCAGGTGACATACCCTGGACAAAGGGATAGGGAAGAAGTCCACTCTACCAAAACATATTAGATAGGTAGGTGTTGTTGTGACTAGGTAACCTGCAGATACCAGGTTCTGAGCCATGAAGGGCTTTAAAGGTGACAAACATCCCCTTGAATTTCACCCAGAAAGCCATTGGCAACTAGAGCAGCTCTCCAAGTAGCGATGTTATATGTGGCAATCAGAAAACATCCATTGTCTGGGAGCCTGATGGCGGCTCACATTGTTGGAATTGGCTGGTGGGGTAATCGATTCTGCCCTCCCTGTCATCTTGAATTGTATATAGTCTTTTTATATAGTATTATTTTTTAAGCTAACTTAATATGGATATTTATATTTTTACTGTTTTTAACGTTTAGATTTTAATTGTGAGCTGCCCAGAGTCACCCTCTGGGGGAGTTGGGCAGCATATTAATTAATTAATTAATTAATTAATTAA